ATTTTTTTTATGAAATTAATGACATATAATATACATTTCATGTTTTTTTTAATATTCAAATTTATATATAAATATAATATTTATATTTAAATACATTTTAATGCATGGATTATTTTAAGAAATATACATATTATTTCCAAAAATTTTCATATATATATGACTAAATCAATAAAAATAAAAAATAATAAACAATTTTAATTATTAATTAAAATTATTAATATTAGATTAATATGTAGGTAATATATACATTCTATCAAATAAAGTGTTATAATTTATTTTCATAGAATTTAATAAATACTGATTTCATTTTTATTAATCCAATTTATATTAATTTATAATCCAATAATACAAGAGATTTTTTTTTAGGAGAAAACATTTTTTACTTGAATAAAATTTCTTAATAATTTTTTTAAATAATACTAATTTTTTATTATTAAGATAATTTCTTATCAAACTCATTAATATTTATTATTCTTTTTAGCAAAAAAATTTGTTTCGAAGAACAAAGAACAAAAGAACAAATTTTTGAACAAAGAAAAAGAAATTAAGAAAGAAAAAAAAATAAAAAATTAGAATATTATTTTATTAAATGTTAATTAATTTTATTAAATATTTGAAAAATTATTTTTAAAAAATTTAAATCTAAAAAAAGTCCAAGAACAACATTTTTAATTAATTTATAATTAATTAAAACAAATTTTATAATTTATAAAATAGCAACATTCGGATATTTCTCATTTTTCTTCTCTTTTTTCAAAATATTTTTTCGAAACAAATCCTCGCTATAATTCTATAACTGCATAATAAGAAAAAATAATTTAATACGTATTATTTTAATAACAAAAACTTAATACTATCTTCCATTCAAAATATTGGGAAATCTTGATTTTTCCCATAATGATTGTTTCAAAAATATCTGTTAATATCCATTAATATTAAAAAATCAAAAATTTAATTATATATTTTATATATATAAAATATAATGTATATATGTATTTACATAATTATTATAATTATATAATTATATATATAATATAATTTATATATATATTTATATAATTATTATAATTATA